CCTCTTCTCACACTTTTATATAAATTCCTGGTTTGGCCAACCTGGTCTATTTAACAGCCAATGAACCTACCCTACGCATTTCCCATGCCATGTCCTCCATATGGAAGACACCATGCTTCTGATTCTTAAAGTTTGTTAAAGTTTGTTTTTAAATTTTACCTCTTCCCTGGTCGCCCCTAGTAGATAGAAGTACTCTCACAGAATGTTAGACTGGAAGGGAGATTGTCTACTCCAGCTGCAAAATGGGCTTTAAAGAGTCACCTCCTCCATCTATAAAATTCAAATGCTTGGGGAAACTGAGGCCACTAAAATAATTTTCTCTTTGAACACTAATTTTTTTCAACACATTTTTCTTGATTGGTTCCTATGTGCCAGGAGCCATTCTAGCCACATGGGATTACAGTTTAATAAGAAAGATGGACTGTACTTAAATTAAACTCTGATGAGCACTACCAGAGGAGGGGAAGCACAGGGTGCCACCGATGTCTGAAACATGAGTGGTTGAGGGAAGGGGTGAGGCACGAGGTTAATACACTGTGGGAAGACAGGATGGAATAAAGTCAGTTTGGGAAGATGAGGAAGGCTTCCCTGAGGAGGAAATCTTCTAAGCAGGGGCCAAAAAGTAGGAATTAACTCTGCAAAAGGTGGGTGATTTCTGCATGTAGAAGGAAAGCCCAGAGACAGGCACTTTCATGGAACTAAAAGAAGGTCTGGGTGCTGGAATCCAAGGGGCGAGGAAGGTTGCCAGAGGTGAAGGTGGAAAGGCAGGGATGGATAAGAGCATTGCTGGGCCTGGGAAGGTCATGTTGAAGATTTCTGGGCTTTATCCTAAGAATAGGCATTGGGTTGCATGTTCCAAGGTACTTCAAGTCAGGACCACGGCTTACCCTGGGAGGAATGGGAGAAGCAACTATGAAATTAGAAAGAACTTGAGTTTTATTTCAATTGAAACATTTGCTGTATCCTTGTCACTCTTCCCTATGTGTCCGATCTCATTCAAAGTCAATTTAAAAAAAGAAAGCATGTGAATTAATAAAAACCACCATTTTAGCTAGCCTGCTTGGCTTGGACAGGAGCTTGTGTATGTACAGGTATCCTGTGCTTTTCAAAAGTTGCTTCGTGACACTTCACTTTTAGGAAAGACCTACATTAGTACCTGTTTTTGATAACCAAAAGAAATCAGAAGATGGTTTTTGCTTTTATGAAAAAAGGCAAAAAGTGAAAATAGCGTCCAGCACTTGGTTTGCTGTGAGCAGTTGAGAGGTAGCACGTACCCCATCAGGGAGAGAGGCACCTCCAAGTTCCTTCCCCAGGAACCACACTCAGCACCTCAGCATCAATCTGCCATAGCTTTGAACTGTGTCTGTGAGCGCTTTACCTAGATTTTTTTTTTTTTTTTTGCGCATCTGTAAGCAAGATGTGTCCTAAGGTAATTGCTTCTTCACTTTATGCCATTTTGGCTTAGGGAAGGTTTCATAGGAACTCTCTACTTTCAGATAGCAGGGGGGAACCTGTATACGGATGTCCGTGAACCTACAGACACTTAAGGGAGTAGGGACCTGTTTTATACTTTTTATAAGCAGAACATTCCATACAAGAACAATCCAGGGAAAAGCTCCATTTCACTCTCAGCCGTGCATTGGTGCTACAGTTAAAGTTAAATGTTCATTCTCTTGCCCTTTCCCATAAGATTTTTAATAAGAGAAAATATCTTAAGAGAATACCAACAAAATTTTTCCAAGGATTGTTTTAGTCACCACTGCTTTTTTAGTATCATCTTGTCTACACTAGGTAATGACTTTCAAAATGCAATCAAATTTATTTCCTCTCAAATTACATTTATATCAAGGATAAAATTTTAAGCAGACAGGGTGACAAAGTTAAAGAACAGCTGGAATTTTGAAGCAAGTTTTGTGTTTAAGGTATTGTGTTGGACACCTTAAAATATATTATCTCATTTTATCCTAACAAAGACTCTTGAGAGGTACATGCTATACTCTAATTCACAGACAAGGAAGATGGAGCTCAGAGAAGCAAGCATTTCCCCAAAATATATACACCTTATACCTACATTGTGCAATATGGTAGCCTGGGAGCAACTGAAATACAGCCAGTCTGAACTGAGATGTGCAGTAAGTGTAAATTGAACACCAGATTTTGAAAATTTAGTATGAAAACTATTAAAGTATCTCAATTTTTGAATACTGATTACACGTTGAAATGACAATATTTTAGATAGAGTAGGTTAAATAAAATATATTATTAAAATTAATTTTACCTGCTTCACACTTTTTAAGAAATATCAGCTAGTAGACATTTCAAAATTACACACATGGCCCACAACTATATTTGAATTGAAGAGCGTGACCCTAGACCAAAGGCTGGACTGCTGAATTTGCCAATAAACATCAAGGTCAAAGGCAGCATGGTATAGAAGAAAAGAAGAATACGTGGATTCATGCAGATCTTGGTTTAAATCTCCTCTCCACCAATGACTAGTTTTGGGCGAAATATCAACCCTCTCTGCACTTCACTTATGTCATCTGCATTATGGTGATATTAAATATCCCCAAACAACTGTTGTATATAATATGTAAAGCAGTAACTGGCAGAGGGGAGGGAACAACTACGAATACCTCCTACAGCAACTGATTAATTTAAAAACTGATTCCCAAAAAGAGAAGAAAATTCATTTATTTGAAAATCCCATTTTATTCTCTTTAAGTGGGAAAAGTTAAAGAACCAACACATTGAATGCCTGCTTTAACATAATATGTGCATAATATATATTGTATTGTAAAATACATAGTATACACAGATTCCTTCTTTCTTTCAACGTTGTTTATAATATGCCACAGGCCGGGAGGCCACATGATGAGATTAGGGTGAAGTAAAAAAATACCAGGACACAGAAGGGCCCAAGCGGTTCTTAAGGACACAATGGATGAATTCCAGTGAAAGAGTTTATGAACTACATACACTTCAGCTGGTCTTTTCAACTTTCACATCAGGAACTGAGACTAGTGAGTAAATGACATCTGGGCAAACAGAATTTTACTCTTTTTTTTTTCTTCTTGGGTCACAGTGCATACAAATAAATTGTTCCAATACACTACGTTTAGACTAACTCATTATTAGTAATCTCTACTAAATCATAAGAAACTACAAAATCATATGGACTACACTATCCAATGACATTTTACCATATTCTGTCTGCTAGGCTTGTGTCAAGAAGTTCGCCCTGGGCATGTGACTTTTATCAATGCACGTATTATCTGTATATGTTTAAATATAAAGGGTGGAGGAGTTGGGGCATTTACTTTATTATTTGATGTACGTATATGGCCTAAGATTGACATGTGACAATGTGTTAGATTGCCCTGTTTTGTTTTGTTTTTTAAGTAGTATGAAAGGGGAATTAAAGATTTGAGTCACTTGAATGTAGCCTCTTAAATATCAGATACCTGGTAAATTTAACACCAAACGTGTTCCTATGTTAACTATAACAATTAACTTTCAAGAAAATGAGACTGAAGAAGTAAGAAGCTATCAGATTCACAGATCTCAGAACACCATGAGAAGCTATAAAAATATCCACTTTATTCTAGTTTGAAATTTAATGGAAGAAGAAACATACCAAAATTTCAGGTTAGCTATTAAAGTGCATATTCAGTGAATTAAGTGGGGAGAGCTTCAGGAGAGGGCCTCCCCTTTGATCTCATACGTGGCATTAAAAATCTGCTCCTTCTAGTGAATTTTTGAGCAACCCCTGAATATATGTGACTTGGTATTTGCTCTTTCAAAGTGAGTAGACTCAAACTGACTAAAAATGAGACTACGTCTACAGTACACTTACAACTAGTTTTCAGCAAATGTCTACAAATTTAGGGTTATAGGTAGAACTGGGTAAGAAAAATAAAATTACACTAAATCAAAATTATTAGCAATTATTAACTAATAATAAGAATCAGACAAAGCAGTAACACGTAAACAGTAATTAGAAAAATTTGCTAAAACTTTGAACTGAGATATTACACATCTGATGCTTGAAATTATAGGAAAAAATATACTCGATCAACTTAAGAGAAAACAAATATCATAAGCCATTTATGCTACCAGCCATATTTCCAAAATGCACACTTTAGAAAAAAGTTCATATCAGGAAAGACCTTATTTGCATTAACTTTAAATGAGCTAATATCTGAGTCACACCTTTGAAAAAACTTGCATTATTTCCAGGAGTGCCTTTTTCCCTCCTTTTTCTTTCTTTTTTTGTTTTTGAGGGGAATAAGGCAGTTAGACTAAAAAGAAAAAAAAAGTTAAGTCGCATTCTTTAATGTGAATGGTATACTTGTGCTTCTATGTACTATCTCAATCCAACTGAGCCATGTCTTCAAATAATTTGATAATCTGTCTTTAAAGTTTCATCTTAATTGGAGAGTTCATTTTTGTAAAACGCCTTGGCACCATTCAATCTTTTATGAAACGAGAACGGTCTCTTTCCTTTGGACTTGACATTTTTAACCACGTACGTGTGAGCAATTTTTGCTGTCAAATACTGCAAAGGTAGGTTTTCTGTTGTTGTTCAATCTGAAAATGTCTCCACTATACTTGCACAGCTGCCCTCTTCCCAGCAGAAACCTACCCGCCCCTCTCCCCCCCCGCTGCAAGTTTTAAACTTTGTTTCCTTTGGGGTTCTGCACAAGCGCTACTAGTAATATCCAAGAGACAAAGAGCTGTGCTGTGGGTTCACGGGATGCCAAATTTGAGTTGTGAAACAAAGCACTCAAATTTGAGATTCAAGATGAGGAGGAAGATGCTGGTTAAAAAAAAAAAAAAAAATATATATATATATATATCATAAAGCGTAAGATCGCAGAGCCATCTCCCTAGACATCTCCTCCTGCCCACGGCCACCCCAGAGCACGCGGGAGGGAGTTCTGGCCCCGGGACAGGGGCTGCCGGCCGCACCGCGAAGCCCCCTGCCCGCGCCCCCGGCCCTCTCACCGCTTCACTCGGATGATCTGGTCCCGCATGGGCTTGATGTCCTGGAAGCTCTGTTGGTTGACGAGGCTGTAGACGAGGATGAAGCCCTGGCCGTTCTTGATGTACAGGTCCCGCATGGACGCGAACTGCTCGGTGCCCGCCGTGTCCAGGATCTCCAGCACCGACGGCGACGAGTCCACCTCGATCTCCTTGCGGTAGAAGTCCTCGATGGTGGGGTCGTATTTCTCGATGAAGGTGCCGGTCACGAACTGCACGGTCAGGGCGGATTTGCCGACCCCGCCCGAGCCCAGCACCACCACTTTGTACTCGCGCATCGTCCCTCCGCGGCCGCCGCCGCCGCCGCTGCCCGCGACATAGACCTACGCCCGCCGCGCTGCGCGCCCGGACCCTGCGCCGGCGGCCGGCCCCGCCGCCTCCCGCGGCCGCCCCCACCTCACGGCCGCCGCGGCCCCCCGGGCGCCGGCGGAGGGAGCAGCAGCCCTGGGCATGGGCCGAGCCGGGCGGCAATGCGGCACCGCGGGCGCCGGCAGGCACTAAGGGCGAGCAGGGAGTGTGAGTCAAGGAGCCGACGGAGCCGCCCGAACCGCGGGCCCGCAGTGCCGGCGGCCCCGCCCCTCGCGCCTCCACGCCCAGCTCCCCGACCGCCC